CATTTTAGATAGCCAATGTCTAAATTGCCCATCCCTATCAACCCTGTTGTGGTACTGTGGGTTAATGTGCCAGACTGCAAAGCCATTTGAACTGCAAGGTCAGTGGTTCAAGCTCACCAGCTGCTCCTCAGAAACCCTATACAGGGTCGCTATGGGTCGGATTCAACTCAACAGTACTTAACCACAACAACAATAAATGCTCAAAGGTACTCAACTCTGCTTTAAGCTTCAGCCCAAAGGTTCTTGGTTTAGCTATGTGGGTCAACAAATCTAGCTCCCCCAATTAAATGCCTGGAGGCACCCCACTTTGCAAGCAAGCCTCCTCCCCAAAGTCACGGAGCTTTATTTGCTCAGTGGGCTGGGAAGCCCACTGCTCTGTTTCGTGCCTTGGTTCTGCTGCTCCTCCTGTGTCACAGCTTTCTGTTCCTGGTTGAGGGGTTTCAATGTGCAGGGATCTCAGGGACTAAAGCACAATGCTCTACTCCTGGCTCATCTTCTTTGATGGTAGTGAAATTCCCCCCAAACCCCCACTGCTTTTGAGATGGCTCATTTTATGCTCAGCAGGATGTCAAAATTGCTCAGTCACAATTAGCCTTGTTAAAAGTGTCTCACAACTGAACAGAATCATATCAGCATCTTCCCTGACCGTCTCTTACCCAGACCCATCAGGAAAAAGTGGTTTGGTGGGAGTTTACAAAGACTTTGGCTAGAAGAGATATTAAATAACTCACTGCACCCACACTATTGAAATAATTTCTTTACTTGTCTCCTCCAAATAAAATGGAGTTTTCCTTTAGGGCAGGGACTGTTTCTTTTACATCCCTCATCGTAGTGTCTAGCAGTGTAGTTCTGACAGGTGATAGGCCTTCAATAAACTCTTTGAATGAATGAAGGAGAAAATTTTTCTGGCCTTTTATATAAGTGCAGTTTTTACCCAAATGACATTTATTTTCCAAGAATTGTCTTTTTTTTTTTCAGTCACATTCTCCTATTTGCATACAGGGGACACCCGTACTCAAAGCAGAAGTCAAAACTTGCATTTGATTTGGTGTCTCTCCATAGCTGAACGCTCACTGCCTAGTAGTGCACATGATATTAGTTGACGGGAGACTCTTTGGCCTTTTTATCAGATTAGAAAATTCCTTTCGTTAAACTGCACCCTCCTTGATGTAAAAGGATCCTATCATAAATGCGATGGGTTATAGGGATTGTGGTATACTTACTTTCCAGTAGTAAAGTTCCTTTTGATGCCTCTATGAAATGGAGTTGTTTACTAGAAAGTTGGGGCTCCTGATCTCAGTCACTCAGGCAGTGAATGGGTCACCTAAAGTCAAACATCAAGTTGTTGTTAGGTGCCATTGTGTTGGTACCAACTCACAGCAACCCAGGTATGTACAACAGAATGAAACACTGCCTGCCTGGTCCTGCGCCAACCTCCCAGTCATTGCTACATTTGAGCCCATTGGTACTTCCACTTTGCCAATCCATCTAGTTGGCCGTCTTCCTCTTTTTCTCCTAACCTCCACTTTACCAAACATATCTGCCTCCAGGGACTGCTCTGAAGTATGAGAGGATGAAGTCTAGCCATACTGACTTAACATCCTGGCTGTACATCTTGCAACACAGATAGGAAACAAAAAGTGCATACAGCTTGATAATTTTCTTTCTAGCAATTAAAATGTGGCTTGATGGTATTTTACTATACATTACCTATCTTTTAAAACTTTTTATTATGATCTGGGTGAAGATACGTTACTTTTGAAATAAGAATGAAAGTATTTTTTATTATAATAGGTTTTTCATGAACTTATTGATAAGACGATTAGGCAGGTTAAGGACCTTTGTGGAATTGTTGCAAATATGCACCATTCTTGGGAAGAACAATTGTTACCAAAAGATGTGTCATAAAAATATTTTATTTTATAATTTAACAAATCCCCTCTAAAATTAGTAAAGCAGATTTATATTTGCTTTAGTAGGAGACAATACACTAAAACTATGTTAGAAGAACACTAAAGTTTAGCTTTGATAAATGCATGACTGTGTTTTCTACAGTTACAACTCTGTTGTAGAAAAAATGCAATCAGAATGTAGGACTGAAGAGGACTCAAAAATCATAAAATACAATATTTCTCCTTAAGAATAGGAAATAAAGGGAAAATACACATTAATGTACTTGCCATCTTTATCATTTCCATTCCACAGCTGATTTTTATTGGGTTTGGGTCATTTTAAAGGTCATCTAGATCAACACAAAACACTTTGAGTATATTTGTTGCTGTTGTTAAGTGCCATTGAGTCGATTCCGACCCTTAGTGACCCTGAATATTTCCTGGTTAAATTTAAATCCAAGAATCAAAGCAAGCCGCCTAACCTATATCTATTATTTTACTCTGGACAGAAAAATCGTCATCCATCGTTACTGATGCAAAACCAGGGAAATTGTGCCCAGACCATCCTTGTAGGAGCATCTCTTCAGTCAGCAGAACACCCTGAAGTGCATCAGCCAGTCCTCAGGGAGCAGGAGCCGGTCCTCAGGACAGGGGAGGAAATCACCAAGGAGCAGGAGCAGGAGCAGGAGCAGGAGCAGGAGCAGGAGCAGGAGCAGGAGGATATCGAAGGCCTGGAGCAGCAGGATATCGAAGGCCTCAGAATGCCGGACGAGGCCCACAGGAGTAGTCCACCCCTTCCCAGAATCATCTCTGCACATTCATTACAGCCATATTTTACACCAGGCAGCCATTTTCCTGGAATTGCTATAATGTCTTACTATTTCAGTGACCATGCTGAAAATGACATCAGAGGTGTCTCATCTGCCCGAGCTAGAATAGCAATACCTACAGCCATTCTGTCACAAAGGCAAAGCAGTCAGGCAAATAACCCTGAGATGATGACAAATCCAACTTTACTGGAAAATAGTACTGGGAACACAGATACTACCCTGCCGTATGTCCGTGTCCCTCCTAATGGTGGTGAGTTTGAAATACCACATAGTATTGTAGTGCTCACTTAGCTAGATTAATAAATACCCTTAATGTAAATTAGTGAAAATGGTTTTTAAATTGCATGGTTTGTATTAAGATTATTTTAGATTCAAAAGTTGTTGTTAGGTGCCATTGAGTTGGTTCCAACCCATAGTAATTGTAAGAAATAATGCAGTCAAATCACTTTTACCCATTTTCCCATAATGGTAACTCCTAAAACTTAATCAAATACCACAACTAAGACAGTGACATTGATGCGATCCCTAGATCTTATTCCAAGTTTGACTTGAATTTGCTTCTGTATGGGTGTATGACTTTAATTCTATGCAATTTTATCACATGATTAGGTTTGTACGTCCAACACGATATTCAAGATAGGAACATTTCCATCACAAGAATCCCTTTTATAACCACACTCATCACCCTTAAGTATCCTTTCCTTCGACCATTCCCCTACCCCTAACATTGGTAACTATTGTTCTGTTTTCCAACTCTATAATTTTGTCACTTCAATCTTATCATGTAATTGAACTCAAAGAAAGTAATGTTTTTCTATTCCGCATACTTCCTAGAGGTTCATCCAAGTTGTTAAGAGTAGCAAGAATCCCTTTTTATTGCTGAGTGTTGTTCCATGGTATGGAATGTTGTTCCATGGTATGGAATGTTCCATGGTATGAGTCATTGACCTTGTGGTTCAGACTGACCTTGTAATCAAGTGCATTATCCTAGGGACAATTTTTTTTTCCCTCTTGCTTTCATGTGAAATTGTCATTATTTCTACTTCTTTCTTGAAAGTATAGTTTCACCCAGTACAAAATTTTCTGTTGAGAGTTTTGTCTTACAGCATTTAAAAATATTTTACTTATAGGAAAACTGAAAAAAGCTGACACCCGCCTGGAAAGGAACCCTGAGAATGTGAATTACTCATATGATTGTGGCCAAGAAACCACCTCTTCAGCTCTCTCAGTCCCTCCCAATTTTGGTGAGTTTGGAATAATAATTATTATTATAACTCTGGTAGCGTAGTGGTTACAAATATTATTATAAAAATAACTCTGGTAGCGTAGTGGTTACAAATCGGGCTGCAAACCGCAAGGTCAGCAGTTTGAAACTACCA